CGATTAGCCGTTTTTGGACGCCCCTCGGTTTGTCAGATATGAGAGCAGTTATCAGGTCAACAGGTGTTGCAGCGATGGAAGCGGTCAAGAGAAGTGGTTCAGATAGAAGTGATTGTACCCGACCTAAAAAGCCTCTGCATGTTTCTAATAAGCTCCACGAGCAGAAACGTGCTCAACTAGGATCAATATTGAGATGCTTTTGAAAAATGGAGAGAGGTTAGAACACAGAAAGGTTTACAGACCCATGCAGAGCTGGATAAACACTGAAGCTTCAGAGTCCACCACATGGTGACCTGAGTGAGCATCTGCTCTCTATGTGAGAGACTGCAGTACGGGGTCAGAGTTACATATCTATAACTGCCGTGAGAGAAATCTGCTTCTACAGAGCTGGCGATCAGTTAAAGGAAGCTTTCTTCTCTCTTCATTTCTTAAAGACGAGTAAAAAAACCTTGAATGTGATGTAAAATATGGACAACGTGAGCTCATGTTCAGTGTACCTTTATCAGAGGAGTCCTCCCAAAGAAGAATCCAAACAGGTAGGCCATGATGTCGTTGCAGATCACAATGGAGATCGGGACAATGAACCTGAAAAATAAATCTTTTATAACATCAGGAGGCGGTGGAAGGTCGTGAGATTTATTCTGACTGTCACTGGATATTGTGTCTGCTCTGCTATGAAACTATAAATAGCTGACAATTTAGCAGGAAGTAAAAATGTTCACCTGAAAATCTACCGCACTCTCTATGCATATCTTAGATTTCACTCTTAAAGCAGTAAACTGTAACAGAGATGCTTCATTTGTACTTGTATCTGTCTTAACAGTCAAAGTTTACATCGTGCACCAAACAGTGAAAAGACGACATGTGCAGTGATTCTCAGAGACAACATGGCAGGTTTTCCTCTGTCTGTCTGTGTCTTACCAGATCATCCCTTCAAACAGGTTCTGAATGACAAGGTGGGACTGAGTTACCACAATCAACAGGGTCACATGGGTCCAAGCAAACTGGAATGGCAAACACAAACACAAACACCACAGCGTCACTGCACTGGAATGTGGACCGGCTGCTCAGAAAAGTTGGCTCGTGTCAGAAATCATGAAATCATACAAACAGACGAGGTGAGGTGAGTGACACGGCAGAGTGAGATGAAGGTGAAACACATCAGAGTAAAGAGACAGGATGGGGGGGGGGGGGGGGGCAGGCAGCAGGTGGGAAAGCTGGCAGGTGTTTGGGGATCAGTGTCGCAAAGTTATCAGAATTATTTAAACCAGGAAGCGCACAAAGATAAACATATTTAAGACACACCGCTGCAGCCAAATCAAACCAAACAGGACGCAGTTTTTAAGATGAGAAAAAGCCTCTTTTTGTTGATTAATACAACTCTCACACTAGGGTGAGTTGTCCCATCCCGTGGTTAAGCACGATTCTTCTCATCCCCCCGCTGGCCTGCACTCACACCGTTCCAGGACTAACCGGGCCTGAGCACAGTTACTTCTTGTACATAATGTCGTAATACAACTCATGCATGTCTTTATGTGATCATGAAGCGTGCTCAGTTTACAAGACAGGCGTGCTCAAAAAATAAAAATAAATGAAAGGGACGCTTGGTCAAATCCCTGCTGCACATCAGAGAACATGAAGGCTATTTTACTGACTTTGTGTCTTATTTTGACATAAGACACGCTTTAAGTCCAGCTTTAATGTTTTAAATAACTAAATAAGAGAGAAGGCATCAAAGCCACAAAACTGAAAGGAAATATCTGCATGTATATGTCATTAGAGAAGCTTTTTAAATTTAATTCAAGTCGACGATCAGTTTGTATGAAATGATGAAGAGGTTAGTTTTTAAATGAGGTGAATAAACACGCTGCACGATGGAAGAATCAGCAACAACAGATGTGTGAGAAGAGAAGTGAAGTGAAGCCATTGCAGGAAGCCATTAACTCCCCGCCGGTCACATGACTAAGAGCTACAGTCATGTGAGCGGCGTGGGTGGGTCTTATGTGTGTGACGTCTCGCGACCCAGAACTTCCACCAGATATGTGTGCACTGCGTGTCCACTCCGGTCCAGTACGGCTCCCTCGTTTGTCAACACTCACCGGCTGCATTCTCTTTGTCTCGACAGCTGGAGTGCCGAGACATAGGAACTTTTGCGGTAATTCTACATATTCACTCGTGTTTTATTCTAAAAATAATCTGGATGTTTTAATGTTGTTTCAGTGTCTGACTTCCTGTCCTACTCGATCTGCTCTGTGGTAAACTGATGCTCCGTGCCCTGACATCCTGCAGAAATAGAGACCTTGTGTATCTGCTGCAGAGGACTCTGGACTGACGGAGCTGAAACGCAGCTCAGCGGAGCAGGAGGAAGAACACACACTGAATAAAGTTTAAAAAAAATCAGCTCAGCTGCCGGAAAGGAGCGGAGACGGACTGAACACGCATCTGGTGGAATTTAGGCTTGAGAGTTATGGGGAGAACTTTTCTGTGATTTAAAGAATAATAAAAATTTGCGTTTCAAAAGAGAGATAAATCTTTAAGACTTCTACAATGGAAAGATCAGGGCTGAAGACGGGAGGAGCAGCAAGGAGGAAGAGGAGGATGAAGAGGGAGAGGAGGAGGAAGAGGGAGAGGAGGAGAGAGAGAGGAGGAGAGAGAGAGGAGGAAGATGAAGAGGAGGAGGAGGAGGTTACTCTGCTGATACACACCATATAAAACTGCAGGCGGTAATGTTTCTTCACTAAACTCAGCACAAACATGCAGAAACCTGTGAAAGAGTAGACAACATGCTGTCAGATTTTACAGTTCATTAAAACAAATGCATCACATGTAACACAATAATAACACTGCACGTGTGTGTGTGTGTGTGTGTGTGTGTGTGTGTGTGTGTGTGTGTGTGTGTGTGTGTGTGTGTGTGTGTGTGTGTGTGTGTGTGAACGTTTAAATGTAGAGTCCGAGGTCGAGTCAGAGTTTAAATCAGACACATGAATCTAAAATGAGTCGACGGCCTCATTGTCAGGTTCGTCCACGGAGTCCCTCAGGGAGCGGTTTCCTGCAGACAGACTGATGAAGACGCTTCAGGACTTCAGGATGTCCCTCAGGTCTAAAACTGCGGCTGACACTTTGCTGGGTCGACTGAAAGACGGCCAAGGAGGCTACACTCCAGACGATTTTAGGGACGATTTTGGGCCTGATCACCCAACCATCGGGGGGGAACCCATTATTTTTGTCCAAATTTTTCTTGAGTGTTTGATGTCAATACTTTGATTTACTGCTCAGAGAATTCCTCACCTGGAGTCGGGCTGCCTCAGACTGAATACCTGAGAGTACAATAAGAGCAAGGAGAAGCGGGAAGCGTCACCAACCGGGTGTTGCATCACTTTAACTTTTCACAAACATGTCAGCGAACATAAACACGGGGTGGAATATTGAAGAAAAAGAGCAGCTTGTGTAACTATGGCAACAACACGAGTCTCATGAAGACAAACCACAGCGTACAGCCAGTGCTTTTCAGCACATCCAAAAATGAGTCGGCTGGCTGTGCGCTCCGGAGCATGTGGATGAAGCGGTTGCACGCTGAGAATAAAAGTGCTGAACATGCATCTTGTCTCCATGACAACAGTCTTTTAAAAACGGCTGCTGTATTAACGACATTGCTCCGCTGATTTGCAACGTGTGTTTGATATTTGAGATCGTGTTTCCCCTTCATTATCATGGATGTTCACCATCCTATGATTCATATGAGACAAATATACAGGGAATATCATAGCTTACATTAAAAAAAAAAAAAAAGAGCGCTGGTGACGTCTGAAAAGTTTGAAGCTTTTAAACCCGAAACCCTCTGAGCAGCCGCAGAAAAAAGCAATAAAAATGGTGTGTGCTGCACTTTTCACAGGAAATGAAAGCTCCTGTTTTATAATCAGTCCTCAAACTTTAGAAGAGTTTATATTATTTGTATCCCGGATATCGTCCCCTGCTGTACACGCGCCATGTCTGCTTTGAGTGTTTGTTTCCTCTAAACATGGGCAGGAGCCGACGGTTCAAAGGTCTCGTGAGTCGCTCTGAGATACAGAGCTCATTACGTCTTAAAGGCGAGACTCACCTGCCAGGTACAGAGCAAAGGAGATGAAGCGGTGATAACGAGCCAAGAACTGCAGAGGCTCCTCCCTCTGCACCAGAGCGCCAAAGTAGTCGGCTACAGTTTCACCATAGAAGAAGTAGTTCACACAAATCAGGAAGTACCTGAGGAGAAAAAAATAAAAAATAATTTTTACTCTGTGTTTGTGCACCTTAAGCTGGACTACTTGCCACATGTACACTGATCAGTGTGTGTGTGTGTGTGTGTGTGTGTGTGTGTGTGTGTGTGTGTGTGTGTGTGTGTGTGTGTGTGTGTAGTTGTTATGACGGGTGGCCTTGGTCAAAGAGGGCAAGCTTCAATTAGCTTCATTTACTTCCAACATGTCAGTGATCTTTGCTCCTGTCTGCTCTGGATGCTGCAGTCACACAGAGTAGATGTGTAGGTGTGTGTGTGTGTGTGTGTGTGTGTGTGTGTGTGTGGAGCAAACACAGCAGCAGACTCTTGCACAGGTTGGAGGGTGTGTGTCGTTTATTCTAAGCTTCCTACCTGCAGACAGACGAACGCTTTAAAGGAACTAAAGCATGTTTATAAAATAAATGTGGATGCGTAAAAGATAATAAACTGTCATATTATTTAATAAGGTTATAAAACACAATCTAAGACCTCATCAAGACATAGGCGAATATTTTTGAATATGCACGGTTTGACCTTTGGTACACAAACTGTGTTTTAGGTCTCTGTAAACTCTCCTTTAGTAAAACTCCTTCCAGGGTGAAGATGTTCAGAAACTCTGTTTGAGGTGTTTCTGTGTAGACGTCACGCTGTGCGGCGCCGGTTTCTCCTCCTGTGTGATGTCATCGTGTGACGCTGTCACTTTAGTTTACATGAGACTAGTGCAATGGCAGACGTAACCAAAACTATGTAGTTGATTGTGTTCTTCTTTTTATTCACTGTTTTCTTTCTTTGTAAGGTGACCTTGAGCGACATAAAATATAAATGCATTGTTATTATTATTAACTAGCGCTAGTGCTAACAATGCTAACTGGACTTTTTACACGCTCACACATACACAGTTACTCTCCCACTATGTTGACGAGCAGAGACGCATGATTGGACGACGGATGTCACTGCTGCTTCATACAACAGTCCCACCACACAAACTCCGCCCCCAACGTCGGCGAGACCCGGTCAGACTTCAGGCTTGTAGGACATTGTGTTTGTTGTGTCTGATGTTTAGTGTACAATCTGTTCTCACCAACTGAGCGTCCTGAACCACGGCAGTTCATAGGAATGGTAAACTCTGTAGCCGATGGTGATGATCTCCTGGAAACATTTGATCTGGACGGTCATGACCTGCATGAATGGACGAGAGAAGAAAACGTCATCCTCGATTCAACCGTCAGAAAGCACAAACAGTGTCATCACAGTCACTTACCACCAATATTAGAGTGACAGGTCCCATGTAGATGATGAGGAAGAAGCCTGAAATCATGGCCAATGAAAGAACGCCTCGTATCCAGTAGTTCTTCCATCTGCACAGAGAAGAAACGTTCAATCATTTCAGAATATTTCATTAATGCATTCATGCTTCATTTGAGTTTCCAAAAAAAGAGAGAGAGAGAGAGAGAGAGAGAGAGAGAGAGAGAGAGAGAGAGAGAGAGAGAGAGAGAGAGAGAGAGAGAGAAAACTGACACAGTCTGACTCCACGTCTAAGTTTGCAGTTATAGAACACAAGCTGCGTCAAATTCCACATCAGAAATATGAGGTCTTGTTCGACCTGTAGAATTTGAGGAAATGACGCGTTTATACCAGCTGAGCAGATGAGGGGCCGTGAATAAACGAGGATCCGTGAATCTGTGTTTGAGGACCTTTTTTTCATTGGCCGTGGCATTCACAACTGATGGTTTATTAACCATGTAGAATCACTGACATTAGCCTTTACATATCAGCTGCATTAGCTGAGATAGTCGCCCTTAAAGCTGTACTGAGGCACAGTGGTCCTCAAAAGCATTATGCTAATTTTAATGTGCTAACATGCAACCTCCAGAACTGAATAAAGTCAAAACCTGCAGTTCCCCCAGTGTCCACTAGAGTCTGTCTCCTGCAGTGAGTCAGTCCCCATAGAGCTCTATGTTAAAATGTCTAACTTTACAGCTGCAGTTCCTCCAGTGTCCACTAGAGTCTGTCTCCTGCAGTGAGTCAGTCCCCATAGAGCTCTATGTTAAAATGTCTAACTTTACAGCTGCAGTTCCTCCAGTGTCCACTAGAGTCTGTCTCCTGCACTGAGTCAGTCCCCATAGAGCTCTATGTTAAAATGTCTAACTTTACAGCTGCAGTTCCTCCAGTGTCCACTAGAGTCTGTCTCCTGCAGTGAGTCAGTCCCCATAGAGCCCCATAGAGACGCTGTATGTGTGAACATAAACAGCCAAATTTTTTGCTTGGACTTCACCCAGAGTTTCTCCTGTGAGAACACAGCAGGATATAATCAGGAGAATTCACCTGGAGTGAGTGGGAGGGGGAGTGATCGCTGCACGGTGCACAGACTGTCTGCACGCCACCACTACGATCTCCGTGCAAGTAATTAAACGGCTGCATTATGTTTCCTGTTCTCCAGTTTGTTCTTCTCCACTCTTCTGTTGATGTTGTCATTCCATTGGATTACACGTAGCATTAATATAAAGACAAATTATCGCGTTGTATAGGGGACTCTGTTGCTTAGTCCACTACTACTACCTCAGGAGACCCCCCGCCCCCACCACCTGTCTGACAGGGATAGTCTCCCGCTGCGAGGTGCATATGTGAACAGTAAGGACGGAGAATCTCCCGAGCAGTCCTCCTGAAATGATCTAGATATTTTCAGAATATGTGAAAACGGCTCTTGAGCGTTGTGGAGCAGACGCTAACAGATACAGTCTACATCCCTCCTGTGTGTTTGTTTGTTTTGTCCGAGTGTCTGTGTTCAACACGTCTTCTCCTTTAAGTAGCCGACATGACCAAAAGGCTTAAAGGTAATTAATCCTCTAAATCTGACAACAAATCTTTTTACCAGTGATACCTGTGCCGGGACACAAGCAGGGCTAAAAAATAATAATAATACAGGATGTGGGCCTCGTCCTCTGGAGTGTTTTTCAACCACGTCATGCAGTTTATGTTTGTGTGAGACAAACTGCTGCTGCACCGCCTGCAGCCCCCAAGCAAAACAAAAGAGAGGAGAGAGCGGAAAGCTGCACGGCGAGCTGCTGTGTGAATGGACGAGAGAAACAGCTGCATCATGAAAAACTCTGCTTCCACTCAGCGCTGCGGCCTCTCTCTCTCTCTCTGTCTGAGCATCACTCACTCTCTCTCTCTCTCTCTCTCTCTATCAGTCTGTCTGAGCATCACTCTCTCTCTCTCTCTCTCTCTCTGTCTGAGCATCACTCACTCTCTCTCTCTCTCTCTCTCTGTCTCTGTCTGTCTGAGCATCACTCACTCTCTCTCTCTCTCTCTCTCTCTCTATCAGTCTGTCTGAGCATCACTCTCTCTCTCTCTCTCTCTCTGTCTGAGCATCACTCACTCTCTCTCTCTCTCTCTCTCTCTCTCTATCAGTCTGTCTGAGCATCACTCTCTCTCTCTCTCTCTCTCTCTCTCTGTCTGTCTGAGCATCTCTCTCTCTCTCGCTCTCTCTCTCTCAGTCTGTCTGAGCATCACTCACTCTCTCTCTCTCTCTGTCTGTCTGAGCATCTCTCTCTCTCTCTCTCTCTCTCTCTCTCTCTCTCTCTCTCTCTCTCTCTGTCTGTCTGAGCATCTCTCTCTCTCTCGCTCTCTCGCTCTCTCTCTCTCTCAGTCTGTCTGAGCATCTCTCTCTCTCTCTCTCTCTCTCTCTCTCTCTCTCTGTCTGTCTGAGCATCTCTCTCTCTCTCGCTCTCTCGCTCTCTCTCTCTCTCAGTCTGTCTGAGCATCACTCACTCTCTCTCTCTCTCTGTCTGTCTGAGCATCTCTCTCTCTCTCTCTTTAAAACGACTCTTCCTCCTCTCTTCACCTTCAAGTCCATCCATTCATCCCTCTCTGCTGTGTCATTTCTCTCGCTGCATCCATCTGCTGCCATCCCTCCTCCTCATCGCTGCTACACCTGCTCCATCTGCTTCTCTTCATCTTTCTTTCTTTCCCTTTCTCCGCCCCCCTCCCCCCCTCGCTCTGCAGTCTTATCCTCCTCAGGTCTCTCTGCAGCACTCCTCCTCCTCCTCCTGTGACGCTCAGCCTGCAGGGATTAGTGCTTCCCTCCTCCCCGTGAGCCTTTAATCCGTGTGACCTGGCCCTCCTTCATTGGTCACGCCCTCCTCTCCTCGCCTGTGTATCAAACGTGGCCCCTCGTTCATCGTGTTCGACATGCTGCTGACTCAAAGGGCCACAGGCTGACGTGAAACAATCAGAATACAAATGCGTAAAGCATGTCAGGAATGTAAACAAATGAGAGTAGAATGTAGAAAAACATCTCCAGATACACTTTGTTGTGAGTTGGCGATGTACAAATGAAGATTGATTGACAGTCTGAGTCAGGCTGAACTCAATAATACAAAACAACAAATCAATTGAGGTGGTGGAAGACCTGCAACTCCCGCATTTTGCAAGATAACCTTTTAGTTTGTCTCAAAGAGGATCCGTTTTTAATCCAGAAACTGCCGTTATGTCCCCGTCTTCAAAGCCGCCCAATTCCAGTTAGTTTACCTCGCAGAACACAGAGTTGCTGGTCTACCTCTGTGTGAACTCGCCCTTAAAAAACACGTTTAGGGTGGAGTTGGCCACGGTTTAAAAAGTTTATGACGAGGAAGGAAAAATACAGATCTGTGTTTTTAGAGGGTTTGCATGTGAACATTATTCAGACATTTAATCGATCAAGAAGATTTTAATTTCAATTTTAGATTCAAGTTTTCCGACACAAACTAAAAAAAAGGATGTTGAATACCATTTCCAGTTTTCCTTTTCTAAAGCTACTGTCAGCTGATCGAAGCAACGGCATCAGAAGACATGTGTGGTTGTTCAGCATGCTGCATCATTACAGATGGATCAACACGCGTTTAATCGTTTTAACATATTGTGACATTAAAGCCGACCACACAACTTAATGTTCACCTGAATACCACAGGACTAGACACGCCAGGCTGTCAGCACACCTTTCACAGGACTCCAGGTGAATAAGAAATACTTCTATAATTAACATCAATGAGGGACGGTTCAGTGACTTCTCACAGGTGTGTCAGACGTGTTTGTGTTCCCACGCCTCGTTTGATTCTGCAAAACTATATCAACCAATCATCACTTCTTTATTAGGTCACTGCTGTGTTTGTTAAAGGTCTCTGTAATGTTGAACATTTATTACCAGCGGCTTTGCTTCTCTACTTTAATAAGAGAAAGTGTGCAGAGTGCAGTTAACCCCCATGTGAAGAGGGAATATGATCGATCACTCAGTCAGGGTCCTGTTAATGATGGATGGAGGGGAAACTGCTTAATACAGCAATATCAAGGCTGTACTACATTAACTCAGTCTCTCCCTCATTCCTGTAGTTCCTCCACAGTAAAAGTACGCCTGTCCATGCCGCTTGTTCTCGTTATATCTGGATGTTTAACGTTTTGCACCAAAACTCACTTAGTGATAAACCTGAGTCTGATTCTTTGGTTGAAGGTGTTCGAAAACAGCGAAAATCTGGTGTTTTGATCAATTTAAAGGAGGAGTCAGTAGAAATGTTTGCAAACATTCAAACTGAACCACCCCTCCTGGGCTCATCACCTTAAGAAGCTCACCCTCACTGCAGGACATAGTGTGTACGTTTACTGCTTGTAGCTACACTGCAAGCTAACGCATGCTAGCACAAGCTAACCGCCGGTGTTTGTCACCTTCCTGTCCAACAGGAAGTAGACCAACTCCACGTCCACGGGTTAAAGACAACACAAGGTTCACCCTCGTTTCAGAACGATCTTTATCCACTTGGTGTTTCTCCTCACTCTCATTATATTTTCTCTTCTTTGCTGCTACGTCCACGTCCGTCATATTCACCGCTTTGAATCTCGTCCAATCACTGAATTGTATCCACTCCTAAACTCACCTGCTGCGCTGTCATTGGCTGGAGGAAACACACCAGCCCCGCCCCCAGAAACGTCCCGAGTCAACCGTCACAAAGCAGAACAGTAAAATCCAGTCAGAGGACAGAGTCTCTGCTGACAGTCACCACCACACATGTACGGAGGCCCAGAAGGGACAATGGAGCAGCTTCACTTTAGGAGAAGTCTGTATTTTATTTTGAAGGTCTCTACATAAGTCTGTATTTTATTTTGAAGGTCCCTACATAAGTCTGTATTTTATTTTGAAGGAAGAAGCTACTGACTCTGTCTTTAAGTGCAACATGTTAAAAGCTCCTCGTAGCTTGTTTACGCTGCTCCAAGTCGGGTTAACTCCAGGGCGTATTTCAGAAACAAACGTCATCTTTCTCGTGTGTGTGTCTGTGTTAGGGCAGTGTGTACCTGGGCGGCAGGCCCTCCAGAGCTTTGTTCAGGCAGTTTGGAGTGTTGTCTGAGTCTGCAGAGGAGAGAGGAACATCTGGAGTGTCTGCTTTGGAGTCAGCATCAATTTCTCCCTCTGTGTCGCCTTGCAGGCCCAGCCTGTCATCACCGTCAGCCTCCTGCAGGGACACACAAACACACACACAGACGTTTAAACACTGATGTAAGATAGTGACAGACAGACGGACCACAGAGCAGAACACACAGGGCAATACCAGAAAATAAGAAGAATAAAAGCAGCAGCACCATTATGTCAACAAAAAGGACAAACATAGTGATGACTCGTGAGAAGTAATGTAGAAGTAGTCAAACAGAGTCCAGAAGGGATAGAGCAGAGACAGACGGAGGTTTAATCAGGCCACAGTTTAGTCTCTCATCTGGAGGGACGACGACACAGCTGATGAATGTGCCCTGTAAGTCCAGCAGGACTTCAATGTGTAGCTCTCTAACTAGAGCTTAACAGAACCTTACTATCTGATCATTAAGGAAACATGTTGAAGTGCTGGCTTCTCTGACAACAATGCAGCAGCCAGTATGTCCTCCTTCTAACTTTAGATTCTGCTCCTGAATGCTCTGGATTTGTTTGGACCAGAGAAGGTAGGCGCTTTTAAGACCCCCCCCACACACAGCCGTTTTGGACGCCCCTCTGTTTGTCAGATATGAGAGCAGTTATCAGGTCAACAGGTGTTGCAGTGATGGAAGCGGTCAAGAGAAGTGGTTCAGATAGAAGTGATTGTACCCGACCTAAAAAGCCTCTGCATGTTTCTAGTAAGCTCCACGAGCAGGGTTATCAAATTGTCAGATTTCTAAACTTCCACATGATTCTGGAAAAATCAAACAATATTGATACTTGTTCACAGCAACAAAAACAGGCGTTCAAGGCACCAAATATTGAATAATGTCTTGTTTTTAAATTACCAAAAACTCCTGCACATCTGGGCTGAATTGTACAACATTTCTGTACCGAAACATTGGCAGTATATTTGTGCAATGTTGTCAGTGCTCTCTCTCTTTTGCATGCTGCAGCTTTTGGTTATAAATACGGCTTTTCAATACTATGGATCATTAAAAAGATGCCGACTGTGCGGTTTTTAAACACACGGTATGAAAAGGTCTTGAAACGTTTGACAACATTTGAGCTCTTTTTCACTGAGAGTTGAGAGGAAGCTGCATGTAAGTGATGACGGGGCCCTCAGACGCTCTGGGTTCATTAATAAGTGAGCAAAGTGACATGCTAGAAGTTAAGCCTGACACGTCTGTTCCCGGGTTCACACCACTGATGGTCTCTGGTGAAACAAAGCCGCCGCTCGGACGCTTTTCCTGCCCAAAAGAGGCTATTTTTAAAACCGAATGAAATTCCTCCTGAGATTAAGTTTCCCTCTGCAGCTGAGAGGCTCGCTGATGCCTCCTGGACATTTCTCTCCTTTCATGGTTACTTTGACTCAAACGTTGCTAAATACGGTCAGCGAGGGCGTCAGGGTTAAACCGCAGAGCCTTTCATTCGGACTGAAGGTCTGTGATCTCCGTCAGACGCTGTAATGAGCTGGAAAACGCTGAAAGTGGAGGCAGGCGGGGGGGGGGAGCCGATGGAGAGGAGGGGCGGGTTGAGTTGAGGTCAGAGTTCAGGAGAGCGGAGGTGTAACTGAAGATTTCTAGTCAGGTTTTAATGAGGAAGCTTTGAAGCCTGCAGAGTGAAACAGAGGAAAGCTACCGGGTCCCGTCTGACAGTTTAACTTGCACCTGTTGTGAAGAGAAATGACACGAATCTCGTCTTGTCTCGTCTGGTGAGCCGTGTGTATGGTCACACCGCCATGAAACAGACCTCAGCTTTGTTCAGCACATTACCTAATACACACTGATGTGTTACATACAGAGCTTCAGTAGTAAGGCCTAATCTGTGTGACCGTACGCACGCTGGTTAATTAAAATGCCAAACACTGTTAATCCTCTGTGAATGTAGCTAACTGCTGCGTAAGTCCTGCAGAGTCAAACATGCTGCAAACCTGTGACGTAACTGTGAGAAGTGATGCTAAGAGGTCAAACTAGTCCTGGATCTGGACGTGTTGCTATCAGCTGTGAAGACAAAGACAGCTAAACATGCTGACAGAGCAGGAAACCTAACGTGAAAGCAGAAGAAGAGAAGCTGGAGCATCCCAAACATTTTTTTACAGCACATGCCGAGAGCCAAAATAGATGGTGAGGCAAAAGAAGTGAATGATGTGCATGCAGGTCTGAACCCTCCTCCTCCTCCTCCTCCTCCTCCTCCTCCTCCTCCTCCCTCTCTGCAGAGTGGACAGGAGGAGAATCAGAACAAGTGACAAATTGCTGAAAGTTTGAAGCTGATCACAATTTATTTTCACCCTGACTGGTTTGATGCAACGATCGAATCACTGGTGCCAAATATCTGTTTTTTGTCCTAAATGAAATTCAACTTTTCGGGTCTGACTCAACATGTCATGACTCCTCACGATGGCCAAAGAAGAAGCTGACAGCGGGATGACGTCAGACAGCAACACCATATTTATAAATGAATCCAGCACATTTTACACAAAATGACAAAAACACTAAATTCTTACATTAAAGAGTGTTACATTCGCCCTCTTCTCGCTCGCTCTGATTCTCCCTCCTCTTGCACACCTGAGTGCAATTTTGACTCTGGGAGGGGGAGGGGTATTTAGAGGAGCCATGTAGGAGAGAGAGAGAGCAATGGGCAGCGACGTGGTAAAGACATTTGGTTCCGGGATGTTAATCATTGGTAGTCCTATTTTCGGTTTTTATTTTGTTCAACTTTTCTTCTCAGGTAGTTTTAGGGGGAGGGGCCGAGGTTTTGCCGGGGTCTCCAGCCCCTTTTTGTGTTTATTGTTTGTTTGTTTTCTTTCATTACTTTGGGGTACTTTTTAATCTCTGTGTTTTGAGCCTTGGTTTAGTTAAGGAGACCGTAACAAAGAGGCTCAAGGCAGAAAATATTTAACTGAAAAATCCCCAAACAATCCACCCACTATCAAAATGTTAGGAGATGACTCTTCTTTCGTTTGATTCATATCTTCTAGCTTCTCTATTCCTAACCTCAAAACATTTCTGCACTCACTTCTGCTACAAAAATCCCCCGTGCAATGACTCTGTGTTTTCAGCTCAATCAGTAGAAATAAATAACGATGCGCCGTGATGCAGTAACCCACAGGTGTAATCACAGATTAATGATGGCCACTCTGATTTAGCCTGCAAGGGTTAACAGCAGCAAACAATGGTGATATTCTCACCACAGGACACAGACACACACCTGTGCGGTTCAGACCAGCAGACAGCAGCAGCAGGAGGTCACAGGGGAACTGATCTCAGACTCTCACGCTGCAGGAAATGAAGCTAATCAGCAGACAACATTGACCTAAAGTAGCGCCGCTGATAGCAGCACCTTCCAGCTTTTAACAGCTCAGCCTTTAACATAAACTGCAGCACAAAGCATGAAGACACAACAGTCTGGAGACACACAGGGAAACTCCCAATAACAGCATTATTTCACCCACAGATGGTGCATTAAGTACTACGTCACACACAACGATGTGTGTCTGATGAGCATTCTCGACGGCGTGCATTAAATCATTACCTTAAACATCAAACCTACAGCAGAGCTCACACCTGATTGTATCTTCAACAGGAGATGGTTTGAATGTTTGTCGACACTGATTAAAGAGGATGCACCTCTGCAAAGCTTCTTTTAACAAAATTGCAGTTCAGTAACAGCGCCTCCTGCCGGCTCCGAATACAGTCAAAATGAGCACAGTTAAATTTGTCTGCGGGCTGAGTGTGGCTAACGTTAGCAGTACTAGCAATGCCAGCCTTCAGTCCTCCCTGCAGGTTAACGTCGTCATGCATGTGAGGACTCAATGTTCAGGTCGATATGCCAGTTTAACCTGCCCACAGCTTTATCTCCAGTTTCTAGCTCTGCTACTACGAGATGCTATCTGTTCACTGTAGCACAGTAGCACAAGGACAACAGGCCCATTAGCTGCAGCTAGTCTACGGCTACAGCTCCGGCTCAGACAGTTTACAGCCTGAGCTCTGCCGAGGTACCCTTGAGCAAGGCATCGCGCTCCCAACTGCTAAACAAAACAAGAACAAGAAATATAAAAGAGTTTGTCTCTTTTTGTTTCTGTGTTTTTTTTTTTAAGGTATTGATTTTGTTTGATTTCTACTGGAATCTTATTGAAGGTTAAATTGTGGCATCGTGACAGACAACCCTGAGATCTGATCCCTACAGACACACAACTTAAAGATCGTTAATATGTGCAGTGCTCCTTTTTGTACTTCACTGAGTCAGAGTTTAAAAGACAAACTAACCGAGGTTACATAAACGCAGAGCCTCAACATGAAGCAGCCAGACTCCTCTGCTGTCTAAAGACATTTCTACGCTGCTCTGTACAGAGTGAAGCTGTGATCATCAGAGCGTTAAACCGCCTGCTGCTGCTGCCATCGCCACCGGGGCTGCTGCCGCCACCACTGCTGCTGCTGCTGCTCCTGCTGCTGCTGCTGCTGCTGCTGCTGCTGCTGGGTTCAGGACGTCCAGCCGGTCAGCAGACAGCTCGCCAAGGTCAGCTGTCATGTGGAGTCCTGAGCAGCAGCTAACTGTCCGGACGACTGACCGCAGCATGGAGGGAGAGCAGCAGTGTGAAGAGCTCACACAACACACACACTCTCTCACACACACACACACACACACACACACACTGTGTGACTAATTAAGTCTGTGTGTGGGATGTTTAACACACTTTAAAAACTCCACAGAGCACTTCACATTTTTGTTGTTGATGTATATTTTTAACCCTAAGCTGCTGCAGGAGACGGAGAGATGCCGCAGTGACTAAATGAAAAAAACATTGGCAACATTTCAGCAGTCAACATATTCCTGCAATTTAGATTCTAGATTTAGTTTTTGATAATTAAAAACAAGATATTACCACATATATTGGGTGTCTAGGACTTCGTCTTTCGTTGTGCTGAGATTGCTAGAATCAAATTGAAGTTTAAAGTTCTGCTATCCTGACGACCCTAAAACCTTACGAAGGTTATTTATACCCTCCAATGGAAACATACACCAGTATGGTCTGTTTGTTTATAATCA